GTCCTCTATCTGCCATCTAGGTCTCGAAGGTGATGTCAGCAAGCACAGCGACTCTTCGATACCCGAGCTACATGAATAATGACCTGATCGGACTGATTGCTCCTTTGACTCCAACTCCCCGCTTGCACTTTCTCATGACTGGGTACACACCGCTGACCACAGATAGCGAAGTATCCACCGTCCGTCGGACCACCGTGTTTGATGTGATGCGACGGTTGCTGCAACCGAAAAACATGATGGTTTCCACCCAGGTGCAGCGTGGTGTGAATCACTGCTATGCAGCCATACTGAACATAATTCAGGGTGAGCTTTCCTTTTTGTGAATTTCTAACGCAAAACGTAAACTTTCTGTTCGTCTGATGCATTCTGTTCTATTCATGATTTTTGTACGTTATGAAATGTCCTCAAATTACTGTGCAAGAATTTCCAAACTTTTAGAGCTTCAGCACGATTCTTTAGTTGGTTTTGTATTCCTATACAAATACGTAAATTGCGTTTGGCTTCAATAAGTAGTTTATTTTTTTGCTCATGGAAAATGCCTTTCTCCACACCGAAGGAGGTTCATTTAGAGACGATGTGAATGTCAAAACCGTGACAGGTTTCTCAGCATTGTTTGGTTTGATAAGACGCCTGTGAAAATCGATTCCCCAAATACGTGACTGAGAGTGGGATGTGCTAATCATCAGATGCTTCTCTCGATATTCAGACCAGGATTTCTAGGTAGTAGGCAAAATTGTTTATTTGGGTAACTGTCACCACATGTGGAACAGATCTGGCATCAACCTAGCTACCGAGGGTTGAGTTCACTGTGCTACGGCGCGCTCCATATTGTTATATGGGAGAGAAACCTGATCGGTTTGCGCTGAGGATGTTAAACTACTTTCAGCGTTCAAACTTCGGTGATGCTGAAGTACACCGAATCGTTTTCGGGTGAAATAACTGAGCACGCTCCACATGTTGCGCTGGCTTAGTCACGTGCCCCATTTCCCAGTCGACCGTCTTCCTCAGGCAGCCACATGGAAGGTGGTATCAAGTTAGAAGAGATCAAGTAATCATTTAGCAGCGAAGTATGAAAGCCATCTTTAGCAAGCTAATTCTCGCTGGTCATTGCCGTCTCCCTGGATGTGGCCCCCTAGACAAGGCACGAACGGTTGGAAGCATTGACGAGCATGCTCCAGTCTCGCGCTCAGTGTGCGCGCATGCATCCAAGCTGTTGCCTTCAATGCATAGCCTCTACCTTAGATCTCCCCAAATCCACTGTCACTCCTCGATTCACTCATCAATCATATTAACCACTGTCTCCAGTGCGTAGCTATCTACTCTTATCTCTCCAGACCATCGGCAAACTAAACGTGTATCCGGCATTTCAGCTGATGTGTTGATGGTCGTGATCGTGATAAGACCAGAATTTCGCCGTTCAAGTAAAGCCCAACTACTAAGCCGAGATGAAATTCTAAGCTATTTCATCTCTGCTTAGAAGTTGTCAGCAGTATGCACCACAAAACACTTGGAAGATTTGAAATTGTTATCTTCAGGTCAGTAGGTTAGTATGTATTAGGAGAACCAGCTCCAAACATAACTGGATTACACAACTACCAATGGAATAACCGTTTTCGTTGAGACAGATCTAATTGGTCGCTCTTCACTTGCCCTTGACAGATGATTTCCGTTTTTAGTATCACTCGCCTAGAACTTTCCACGTGGGCTTTATAAGCACATGGCACTCCTGTGCACGTCAGTGCTCAATAGATCAGCTAGTTCGTACGTTCATCGGTTTCTGGTTTCGCATCAGGCTATCAAGCAGTTATCCAGACTCGGGTTCACGGTATTGAAAAGGCATTAAGAAAACTGTAGTCCACAACAATATGCAATTGATTTGTCCACTAGTCGCGTAGCAGCGTGATTAATTTGTAGATAGACAGGGTATACCATACCGTTCTCCAGCCAAAGTCCACGCCACTTAATACAGCTTCTTTTGGTCCTACATGGCAAATAAGACCCTTTTAGCCTGATCCACGAGAGTGTATTTTCATTAACCGTTCTGTGGTATAGATAAGGAGACCACAGGTGGCTTCCCTTTGCCACCATTGAAGCGTCCTGTTACCAGTCCGCCTGGACTCCATGTTGTTGGAGGTTTGTGTGAACCAGACACTCATTACTCAGTTAGCCGGCAATTGTAGAATATTCTGACACCAAATGGTGAGTTCTATTTCGTTCACCGATTTCACCAGAATAGCCGCTCAGTATTTCAATCAACTGCTCCGTCAATAATGTTGCATGCGGTAGAGCCGTTGATAAAATTTCTTTCTCAGTAAACCCCTCATTTTATGATCCAACTCTCTTGTTTATTGCCACCGTGTCCGAATTGGGGTTAGTTTGTCTTTATCCACCAGAGCTCACATTTTTCTACATGCAACAGTATCTTTGAGTGTCAGTTCATGGGTCTCGTCGATTTGTGGATCGGGGGGGGGGGGGTCAAGAAGTCAGATTGTGTGCGGCTGCACCATCCTTACCGTAGTATTTAGCACTGAGTGTGTCTGCAGTGGGCCCAGTAATTTGAGGATATGAAATTTTTCACTCGAGCCTTCCTCCTATAAGTGAAGCCAATCTATGTCAAATCCCAGCATTGATGTGGTCTTTTACAAATTTCGGATGGAGCATTGTCCCGATGAAGCCTGGCTAGTAGAACTAACTCGTGCTTTCGGCTCACAATAGGTTTAGTGGATCTTATAGATCTTAGACAACTGAATTCCGCTCTTCTCAAAATAATAATAAAGAGCGTCTGTAAATCCATCCGTAGCACCTTTCGGTGCCTAGCTGGTCTTGCCACCCGAAGGAAGCATGAGGGTTGGGATACTGTCCAGGCCTAGACAGGGGAAGTCTAGAGGTCAGGTTTGAACCAAGGACCTTGCCAAAGAGTTGGCTATCTGTTCTCCGTTTCTTGATACTACCGTTCTTCCGTTAAAAAAGGCAAGCTGGGTCGCAACCGAAGCTGTAATGAAGAGTGTACTTTAGTATACTTCAACTACTCGGAGACCAGTCGGTTAAGTGATGAGTGACTTCGGTGTCTAGTTGCCTGACGGCGCAGATCTTGCTTTCTTCCTCTTCGCTCCCATTACCACTAGCCTGTGTGTAGGAATATTGGTGGGCCTACAGAATGCAAGTCAAAGCTGAATAGCTGAGTACGTAGTAGAAGTCATCCCATGCACGATGACAAGTCCACTTTTCATTGATTGGTAGGGACTTCACGGGATTTCGCTCTTAGTGTTGTAACCAACACTAGCTCATCCAATCTATTTGTCTGCGGGAATTTACGTGTCACAGTTTTCGTTGTTTTCTTATTCCCACGTCGAATAACCAGGTCATACTCCTCTTTCTGAACTCCCGTGTCTCCTGGACGCGTTCTTCCTTGAAGCGTAATGAGTCATATACGCCCTTGACGAAATTTCGCTCGGCAAGCATGTGTTTAGTAAAACAGGCCTTAGTTGTTTTCTTTTGCTATCGACTGTCAGCAGTCTGGTATTAAGCCGATTATTGAACGGGTGATTTCGACTTGCCTTAATTCGTTTTGTCGAGTTAGCGGTATTACTTTACTTGGGATATTCTCAGGCACGTGATGTATAAATCCATCCGTAATCTACAATGGAGGACGTTGTGTCTCAACTAAACTAAACGTTTTTGAAAAAATCCCTTTGTTTGTTTCCCTATCCTTCTGATGTATAGGTGAAGTAGATCCATCTGAGGTTCACAAATCTCTGCAACGTATCCGCGAGCGCCGTTTGGCCCAGTTCATTCCTTGGGGCCCTGCAAGCATTCAGGTAACCTTGTCACGCCGTTCTCCATATGTGCAAACACAGCACCGCGTAAACGGGTTGATGCTGGCAAATCACACGAGCATATCCACAGTACGTTGTTGATTTTTTTCTTTTTACTTCCTCTTACTGTTCCTTCGACGTTATCTGCCTTCTACATCAGCCGCTGCATCCAGTCAGTCGGTTCTCCGACCCACCCATTCAACTTGTTTTTCTGGCTCTCTTGTCAAGTTGATCAAGACATTGAGGACAACAAGGGATGATTTTATTTCGTATACTCTCTTCCGCCTTTAGACGTGTAAAACAGGTTAATATGTGTAATACAGGGCAGTTTGCAACATTCAAAAACAAACCGGGGCAATCCCGGATGGTCAGTTAGATCCTTCCGAGCGCAGAGGATATCAACATAGGCTCAAGAAACTTCAACTTCTGTGGCTGGACCGATGACCTATGACCCGTATCGATTGGATGCCTAGCGATCAGCCATTGACCTTGGACCCGATCAGCTTTGGGTTGGGGTCATTCGACGTGGTACGAGGTTTTTGGGCGCTAGCTCCGTTACTCGCGTTTCAAGCCTCCTATCAGTTCTGCAGATATATTTATTATCGCATCTGCAGTTGTTGCTTTCAAGTTTAGTGTTCAGGGCTTGTGCGAGGTTGTCGCAGTCCGGCTGAACTGGACGAAGAGAAGTGCAGGCAAGAGATCGTCCACACAAAGAAGAAACAATATGGAAGAAAGCATAGGTCTTTCGGCAATTTTAGTGCTGATTTTCTCGGTCGTTTTTACAGGAATAGAACGGGTGTGCAGGAAACCTCCTATCTAGGTCATCAACTCTGGATGCAACCGGGGAGCGGGCAAAATGCCTCCGATGTATCGAAGGCAACCACCTTCCTTTCATCAGAAGAGTCAGCTTATGTCTTGCATGCAGGCTAACAGCAGCCGTGAAGCGTTGGCACCTGAACCTATATTAGTGTTCACCCATGTCTTCAAGATGACCTAAGGACTGTTTTAAGGACTTTGGACGAAATGGGGATAGTGGAGATTGGCCAGTTTGGGTGAGGGCAGGAGCCGCGTGTGCTAATGGGAGGGATGAACGATTTTTTTCTTTCTGAAGAAAAAAATACCAGTAGATAAAGATAGAGGGCTCCGAAATGACTGAAGCAAATTCAGAAGCACCATTACGGAACAAACCCAGATAAGCTGGAGAGACTAGTTGAACCGGTACGGAACTTAGAGCGGAAAAAGAGTTGGGGGTAAAAGTCGGACAAAGAGAACTTTTGAGTTTGGTACTTCAAGGTGTGTCACGTATGAGAGGGAATGAGGAAGAACAGAATTTGTAAATGGCTGCTTTGACCAGGCTCTAAAAGGAACTACTTGAAGTTGGCACTTTTGACAGCTGGGTTTCCTTTCATGCGTTGTATCTATCTTTTACTGTCGATCATAGATGAGCAAGTATTAACTACGGCAACGCAGTCAGTGCTTGTTGAGAGAGAGAGAGAGGGATGCACCTACCAATTCTTAGTTGCATTCAGGGGTCGGACAGGATAGTCGTGGAATTTCTTCCGCAAAAATCAAGGGATCTCCCCCTGAAAACACTAAAGACTTGACGCAGTCAGCAGATGAGTGTTACCAAAATATGTGGCAAGAGGGGAGATTGTGTCTTGGAAGGGAACTCGACAAGAACAGTGTGTCGGAGGGAAGTCGAGAAGAGCAGTGTGTCGGAGTCATAGCGTAACGTGTTGAATGGGTCTTTTTAGAGGTATCACAGTTGCGATCAGGAACTCTGGTTGGAAAACATACGAGTTGGATAGCGGGAGTGGTGGTTGAAAAGAACTTGACCACACAGCCCGTTGAATCTTTGTGGGACGTTTCTACCTACGTTGAAATTGCCCATAATGCTAACTTTTCGCAAGGGGTCGGACGGAATTATCTGTTCAGAGTTCACGTTCATCGATAAACTTAGCATCGAGGTAAGTTCGATTTAAGCCAATATAGTTTTAAGCCACTAGTACAAAACTCCGAAGATCAAAACGGATGAACACTCACGACACGTGAATGCGGCTGTGTATTTGTTCGATGATTCAAGTTATCTGTTCTATTGGGATGGAAAAAGGCAGCTCAATGTCTCGGAAATCGGTGCGGCAGCTATTACCTTCAGTGCCTTGTTTGACACCATTCCTGTGACATCAGTGGTTGTTTTTTTTATCCATTTTTCACTGAATAAATGGAGATGACGCACGCCTGTCTTGCATCTCAGACAGCTGAATTTCATGCACGGACCGCGACTTTAGGTAGCCACTATTCATTCGCCCTTTTTAGAGTGGTTATGTGGACTGTCATAGTAGCTTTGATGTCCGTGTCATATTCTGTCAAACTGTTTTCACTATGGACAGAAGTTTGACCGAATTGGACAATCTAAGGGCCACATCTTCCAAACTACATGCTTTTAACTGTGAAGAGGCTTGTTACGTTGAATGATCTCTTTATTTCCTTTCCTCCCAGCTCTTTTTGCGTTGTCTGGCTCAGTATGATCGTCTCCGTACTCGTGGCGCATTTTTGGAACAATTTCGCAAAGAGGACATCTTTCGTGATGATCCGGACTTGAAAGAGTTCGCGGATAGTCGACAAGTTGTGCATACTTTGATTGAGGAACACACTGCAGCCACTCGATCCGATTACATCCACTGGGGAGCACAACGAGCTGTTGCCGCTGCGGCAACACAGGCAGCTGCAGCCGCGGCATCAATGAGTACGGCGCAAGCTTAACTTCGTGCCAACCAGCTGCTCACACTGCTCAACATTTTACGCGATTTTTTCTTACCCTCCGTCCTTATAGAATGTCATTCAGAAGGGTAATCTCGGTTACCCGGCTGCGCATATCATTTTTATTACTGCTGTTTTTTTTGTTCGAAACGTTTGGCAACTATATTACACGATTTTCGTGATAATCGTTATTTGATCTGAGACCTCCGCTGTTGCGGAGGTCTGGGAGCCACCCAGACGTCGATAAACGAAAATATGGGCTAGCTAACCGCCAAATAAGATTGTTCACCTCAACAGATAATCCTGGATAGGGGTGACCGACGGCTATCAGAACATATATGATTGCGCGCGTGCTTCAGTTTGCACACCGCTGCGCCATACAGCGCCGCCTTCATCATGTCAACTCGATTAGTTCAACAAAACGGCTAAGCCAGCAGACATCTGAACCACGAGTTATGGACAATTTACGCCTATCTGTTAGAGTGCATTGTGGCACAGTTGCCCCCTCAAGAGCAAACACCAGTGTATAAACTTGTTAAGTTATTTCCATTCTGTGCGCTCAAATGTTCATCACACGCAGCGTGAGCTAAACTTGAAAGACCCCTCTCTTTGATTTCCCATAACATTTGTTCTGTCCTTGATCAGCTTGCTAAATTGTCCCAAGTCAAGAATGGTCGAGAGTTCAGCTCAAACCCTTCACTTTTCCTATCAGGAGCACGTGCCATCTGACACAGTTGCTTGTGCGTGTATCGGTAGTGATCGTGAAATAATTTTTGGTTATTTTACTCAACCAGAGCCTTGTGGGTGTTTTGATTATGCCGGAATTCATGAACGCCATTGGCATCCAACTAGACGCGAATCTCATTTCTACGCCGAATGAATGAGTGGAGCATTTGTACTTCAGGATACCACAGGATTTATTGGGGTTTGTAAGTTGTATTTGGATTCATAGTTTGAAATTCCATAAACAGCTGTCTCTGCTTTCTCCTTGATGTTGCCAGTATTTTTTCGAAGTGTTGGCAACTGGCTGAAGTTTAAATGAACGACTTTTATCCAACTTCTGGAAATCGTTTTTTCAAATAGGTCCAGCCCTTCAGTGGATTTTTTGAAATCTTCGAACAGACCTCTTGTCAACGGATGCTAAATTTATGTTCAGCAGGATAGGCATCTTCAGATCTAAAGAAGCTGAGCATCACGACGTTTTTTATTCTGATTGGTGCTTGTTATCTCGGCTTTTGGAAATCGAACGAGTGACCCTTTGGTCATGTGACGACGGATCCACCAACCAG